TACATGAGAAACCTTGATTTTAATAACCGCATATTTTTAAATATTCATCATGTGTTACAAGAAGCAGAACATTCAATAAAATCTTCTCGGGCAATCAGCCGCGTTAACTGATTACCGTAGTAAACCGACGTACAGAACATTATTTACAGTTTAATACCTTAGTATTAGGAACTGTAACAAATTAAATATTTGGGTTTTTGCTTCTAATTTCCAAATAATAAGAATTAATTAAAATGGACAGCACTGTCAGAGGAAAATCCGCAGTTCTAATTTACCGGCACATAGTTTGCATTGATGTAGTCAGAGCCCTCTTCATCATCAACAGGCTGAAGTTTAAAGCGAGAGTGATCGTAAGGTAGAATGTTGGTGAAGCGATTCTTGGGGCGATTGCAAGGCAGGTCTGCAGCTGAACATGGCTGTTCTCGGCCCACGTGTTTGAGCTCCTCAAATTCTTCAGAGAATCGGAAGTCTGAGTCAGCCGACATCATGCGATAGTGCTCCGAGAAGTTCTCCAGCCGGATCGGACGACTATAGGAAAACGCAATTTAACACTTTTATGATTAGGCAAACTGAACACTCATATTACAAATAAATCCATATACGTTATGGTAAAAACAATGTGTACTTATGTGATATTTTACCTTGTCTCTATAATACTGTCAGGCAAGGAAAGATTATCATTTCCCCTTGTTTCCGTTGCTTTCCTACTCGCAAATCGTCTTTTACGTATCACAACCACCAATATGAAAAGCACAACAAGTAGCACCAAAGGCACCGTCACGCCAACCACAATGGGTGTGTTATCCTGATCTGAAAAGATAAGGAATATGAAGTTAACAGGTAGAGGGAAGAAGTCACGATGCCCATTCGCCTGTATACAGAGAAAGACCGGAAAAATTTATACTGTAGTAATTATTCAATTAAATGACCTAATGATCTTCATGCAAATTTCCTATTGGTATACATTTCCAATGCATGAAACTTACAAGACACAAACTCTAAGTATCGTATCATCTTTAGCAGAGAAATGGGTTAAAATACAATCTGTAGACTTTAATACGCTTGTCAGTAATCTATCTATCTATAAATATAAAATTTCTTCGTGAAAATTTAAGGCAGGTTTTCAGAAAAAAATGTTGAATTCAGGAAAATAAGCTAATGTTATATTAGAGTAAATACGTTAGTCTCAGAAACAACGTTTCTCAATCTACAACAACAAAAAATAGCCGACCAATTTATTACTTCAGCAGCAATTAAGTTAATTAATAATAATTCATATTTATGCAGTTAACTTATATTATTTCAAAGCGTCATTCTGTAGAAAACCATCGGTCAACAGCTGTTCTTTACCACTATATACATTCTTGGCACTAATGTTGAGGAATTAAAAGTGCTCTGCAAAAAGTTGGTAACTACTGGTCTGAAGCACAAGAAAGGTTAGGTTAGAATAATATATAGTAATTCAGTGTCTTGATTAAATATGTATGGTAGTTGTTGGGCATAAAAAGCAAGATAAATATTTATCAGAAATGGATATTACAGATTCAAATCAACTATTAATCTAACAAACTCACCTGTTTGTATAGGGAATGAGTAGTGTGTATCTGTGAACTTGTCAGGAGCTGTAAATGCTCTCACTTTAACACGATACGTAGAACCAGACTTCAAAGGTCCATTGCAGTACCCCACATGGTGACCTTCACAGCTTTCAAAACCTATCGTAAAATCTTCTACTGATGAGTTCTTGAATGGATAATATGGTTCCATAACCTGAAAGATGTCAGAACATCAAAATATCAAAGTACCTTTCTTGTGCTATAATTATCAATTTTTTTTTATATATTAGAGAAAAAGTGGATATGTACACAAATAATACCTAACTAATATACATTACTGTACAGTTCTACACAAGATCTGAACATAATTTAATGTTAAGCGAGACGGTAAGCAACTACACTTTAATGGCCATGCTCACTGCAGCCAAAATCCTTTATATTTTGATATTTAAATTAAAATACAGTATGTCGAAGAAGAATAAAATTATAAGATATTCAGGTAAATACACTAAATTAGTTTGTCACCGTCAAATCAAACAACAGGCCCACAGTTAAGATGGCAAACACACTGAATCTTCAAGAATTGCACATTTCAACACCAATCATATAACAACATCTGAAGTATTTATTGAGAAAGTACAAACTCTTATTACCTGATATGGTGGCCACACACTGTAGGCTTGGACATCCCTCCAGCTTGGCATCTCCAGCCCCGATGCATTCTTTGAGTCGTCTTCAGCAACAATAATTGTATACATTGTCACCTGATAAAAGATAAATGAAACAAACTTTGTACAAGCAAACGGCTGGGCACACAAACAGAATTAATTCACTTACACATAGGAACGAACCACATAATAATCCCAATTTTTATAAATAACAATACTTAAATACAATCTAAAGATTTCTAACTACTCAAGTACAATGAAATGTCACAAAAAACACTACCATAGCAACGCTGACTAGACCTTCAGCTGCATGCAAATGAATTGCCATGTTATACGGTTACAAATAAATAATTTCCATTAAATGTTCTGGAAAAAAAAAACACCCGTCTGTTGAGATCAGTGATTTGATGTGGCCAAAATACTGGATGGTCCACTATTTCCACTCTGCTTCGTCTAAAGGTGGCGACTGACTTATAACATTTACTCGTAATGTAACATTCGCGGCGAGCATGTTACATTACACCACAACTGGTGAGGCACATCGAATGCTCGTTTTGAACGCTCGGCTCGACTGTGCTCGTGTGTGCTCCGTTCATTTCATTCAATATGTCGGACGTGGAGGTTGTGTTATCTTTGTTTCATTTAATACGCTACTGTTATCTAAAGAACTCGTGAATGCTCATTACAACGCCGCTCGACTGACTGACTGACTTGTAACGTAACACTCAAAGGGATTCGCAAAAAAACCGACAACACGATGGAGCGCCCGCGAGCGTGAGCGGCTCGCATCGAGCGGCTCCGTTCGCTGTCTTCACTTGTGTAATGCTCGATTTGTAACACGTTACATTACAGGCAAATGTTACAAGTCAGTCGTTTTGTTTCAGCTTATCTGACATGATCCTGAACATCACAATTATGTTATTGTCATTACACTCACATACTGAACCGTATCTTCTTGGGACCTAGGATTAATTGTTATAGGGGATCTTGGTTCAAGATGTTTATGCATGAGGTTGTGTACAATATTTCTTTCAGTGTGGTTTACATTTACTTACCGCTCCATTCTGATCAGAGAAGTAGTTCTTGCGGAATCGGATCTGAACCGTGGTCGAGCTGCGACAAACTTCAGTTGGCACCACGTGACTGGGTGGTTTTGGAGGTGCTGGAGCAACAAACATTTAAGAACCAAAAGTTTAAGTAATTTGCCTAGTGAAACTTCTGGAGGCATTTTAATTGTGCTGAAAAAATTCCTAGTTCAATTACTACAATTTTTATAAATGTTTCTAGGTAAAAAAAAATCAGTATTTCACAAATTTCAAGATATTGAGCATTAAATGGCATTTTAATTAAACAAAACTCAACGTGATATCTATTATTATTTACTAAAACATCAGAAAGCATAACATTTCTGAATGGTTGAACTTGAAAACAAAACAATATTTCTTAAGCATCATTTAATTCAGTATGAATGACGGATTTTCACATCCGTAAATAAATTACTTAAAATATCCAAGTTTATTACTTACAAAGGATAGGCATTTTCTGTTTCCATATTGCTTCTGGTCCATAGCCAATCTTTGTCTCTGCTTGAATACGGAAAATGTACGACTTTCCCGGGATGAGCATTTTGATGGTACCATAAAATTCAGTTGGTTTGAAGTTATTCACTTGCGTATGTGTAGAACCCTGGGGATAAGAAACTAACTGATTATATACAAAATTTATAATTACAAGAAATGTATGACATAGGAAAACAGAAATATCAAGATGACCTGCATAACAAAAACGCATCAAACATGCATTTACATGGCACGAGTTATAGATTTTCTTTACAGTGTATTAATGCCACTTAGCAAATGTTATGCAGTTGCAGGCATATTTCTTTCTTAGTAACATGTATCACCTTATTACACAAAAGTTACTAATGTATGTGGAAATTTTTTAAAAATATAAACGAAGTTTAAGAAAGGCATCACGCGGGGAAGAACAATTGCTGAAGAATGCCAAGGAACTGTTAATTACTACGCAAAACTATTAAAATAATATAAATAAATTTGACCCTTCCTAAAAAAAAATTCACCCAGAGTAATGACCCATTTACTATCAGCATGAAAGTTCCTGCTCAGAGATTCATTTCAAAGGTTCCAAAATGAAGAGTTTCAACAAAATTTAAAATTCAAACTGTTGAAACAGTTATTTAAAAAATCCAAGAAAACGTTCGTTCAAAGAACATAGAACAGATAAACACAGAACACCAATCACAGCTTTCAAATTTTAAATCAAAATGTTCATAATTTCTTATACCTAATAAAATCACTGACTTTACAGCCTCACGCATTTCCCGCACGTAGTAACTTCAGAAGACAGGTTGTTAGCCTAACAAGAAGACAAGATAGTATCATCAATATAATGGTCACATTATGAATCTGCTTTACCTCAAGTCCATAAGTAATGGTGAACTTGCGTATAACTCCATTCTGCTCATTACTTGGTAACGCCCACTCAAATGAAATGTGACTTGGTTGAATATCTCGTGGGTGGAACTTCTCAACCTGGCAATAAAATAAATTTCTTAGGGAATAAGTATTTAAAAGGTAGACCAGTGGTTTTCAATGGCAGTTCAAACATAGAGAGAGTGTCCTGTGAATTTATCTCACTACTTCAAGATTCTATTCCTCAAATTATTCCCAGTCACAAAAATAAGAACATGGGTCTAATTCTTGATGGTTCTCTGTAACCAGAATAGAAAGTCAATTATTATTATTTATTTAGTGTTCTGTCTGACGACAGGTCCATATGAACAGGATCCTTCCATCCTTTTCTCGGACTGGGACCTGTTCATATACGTTCTTGGCAGATGATCCAGAAGCGGTTTGCCATTGCCTTCTTCTGTGTGTATGGAGTACGGAGTAATTGTTGGGATGCCACGGAAGAAAACTCCGCGTTGCCTAGACCACGGCCTTGCCCAACACAAGTTAGAAATTCTGTTCATATACGTTCTTGGCAGATGATCCAGCAGTGGTTTGCCATTGCCTTCTTCTGTGTGTGAATGGAGTAATTGTTGGGATGCCACGGAGGAAAACTCCGTGTTGCCTAGACCACGGCCTTGCCCAACACAAGTTATAAATTCGGGCACCGCCGGGAATCGAACATTACAAATAAACTGTGCAGAAACTCTGAATTTGTTTTAAGTCTCACATTTATTACTGATCAGTGATGAGATCTCCTTACCTTGCCGGGAACAGATTCCATTGTCGTAAATATGGCAGAAACGGGCAGTGACCGTCGAAGGACCTGCGATTCAGTACCCGAGCGCACCACCACAGTAAAAGTATAGTTTCTGTGAGGTTTCAAATCACTCAATGTAATGGAGTTGTGAAGAGTTAGGTTCTGAATAAGAACATCTTCAGCGTTGAGGTACTGAACCTGCAATCACAAGGATACTGATACAAGTAAGTGGAAGTTCTACTTTACAAGGAGAACTTCATATTGACAGTGTGATAAAAAACATCTACATATGATCTGAAGCTGGGTCAGGTGGTTGTAAGGTTCCCTTGAACCACCTGAGAAGAATTCATTAAAACCACCTAGCGATACAAGCCAACAAACGAGCAGAGCATTAAAACACCTCTTTTTCTAATGCCTTCAGTTACGGTCTTTTGACCTTCCTGACCTCTGACTGCAGAATAAAGAAGTAGGAATCCACTTGCAATGTGGAAACAACCATTGAGGAGAATTTTGTTTGCTCAAAATGACAGGGTAATGGCTGACGGAGGAGACCAACAACTTGATATAATAGTGGGGATCATAATATTTTGTTTGTACAGTGAAACCTCAATGCGTCGTTTTTGACGGGGGAGAGAAATAAAAATGAAGAATACGGGGAAAACGACAGTTGCGGGGAAAGCATTAAAAATGAGAAAAAATTAAAATAGTGCATTTTTCTCTTTGGCATACACAAAACACTACACACAAATTCTGTTTCAAAGTTACTTCTTTTTGGCAAAAAAAAGTCTTTAATGGATAACTTTACATTTTAGGCGAAACAGAGCCCCATCCATGTTCAAAAAGTTTGGTAATGTTTCAAGTACAGAGGTTACACAATATTAAACTATCTAGATGATCATGAATGACAAGGTCGTACCTGGCATTCAAAAGGAAGACTGAGACGGAAGACAAACCATAAGAACTACCAGTAACTTGTCCAAGATTTGAACAAGGAGCATCTACAGTATTAATGACACACCAAATTTCTTGGTCTTAATGTACCAGCAAAAGGTGAAATAACTTCGTATGAAATGAACTGTTACCTCAAATGCATTATACTCCCCTTCAGGCAAGTCCCATGTAAGAGTAATCTCTGTGTCTGAGATGTAAGTAGCATTGATCCCTGTAATGGACTCAGGATCTGTAAATACAGAAATCAAATGCACTTTAATTACCAACGTAGCTTCATCGTTTCAACTGCTACATTTTGCAAACAATGAGAATTTGTCCAAAGTTTTTATTTTTTCGTAACTATTTCTCACTTTTATTTCCTATTTAATTTTCAGATATCAACATTTTACGTGCTCTATGAGTACCTTTAGTGGCATCCACTCAATTTTATCCAAAAACAACGTCCTAAATTTTCATCTTACGTCATTTGAATCTAGCACTAGAATACAATGAATTTGAAGCTAGTGAGAACAATACTGAACAAGGTGGTGAAACAATCATGTATACTTACGGATGGCATGGCCGATTAACAATATGCACCCAAACGATAATCAGCCAAATATTACAAATACAATGAAACCCTGTCATGAGGTCAAAGGACTAATTTAATATTGGCGTCATACATATTCATCACATGATAATTTGCCACACAGTCGACATCAGAAACCTGATGTCTTTCAGTTCCAGCAAACGCTTAGCAATAAAAGGAATGAAAAACTCAATAAAATTAATTAAAGTTAAATGTGGCAGTAAAAGACAATTCTGAAGCACCGGGCAGTAAAAAGGTTGAATATTAAAAAGTTACAAATGTGAACAATTTATAGTCTTTTAGGCAGTCGCCAAAATTTAGGGGAAATGAATTGCCACCATCACAATGGAATCTCTACCCATCAGCAATCCACATTTTTACTGCCATTAAAACACGTTTCATATACAAAATACTGCAAATGTATATACTTACAAAGACGATCCTGTCGCACTAGTGGCTGGCTAGCGACCCCATCTGATACGGTCCACACTGTGATGTTGTACAGTCGCCCCGGTTTGAGTCCTGTAAATGTCACCTTCATGTCCGTGTCATTAGCTGCCTTCTCCTTCACAGGAATGTTGGGATCACTTAGCATAAAACGGTACAGGTCAAAACGTGATGATGACGCGGGTGTTGGGGTGTACCGCAGTGTGATCGAGTCTAATTTCTGCGGATGTTTGTTGACTACCAGAACTTCAGACTGGATGAGTGGCACTGTGGAAAGGTAATACTTATTACATACAGGTTTTCACAGCAGTGAGTACAAAGATGGCTGTCTTCTGGGCTGTACCGCCGTGTAGGCTGGAGGCAGCAAGTACCTCTGAAAGAATGTTAAATTTCCATCAGACTACACAGTGCTACAACCCAGAAGACAGCCATCTCCTTATTATGTTTGTTCTGGTTTGCTGAAAACCCAAAAAAAACATAACAAAATAATGAACTGAGAATCTGAAGATTTAATACCACTAACATCAGAGCCTGCCACTGTACCCCATATACAGCCAGCTGAATCCTGTTGATATCCACAATCCCAATCTTTTATGAGGTCATACTCATCCTTTCTTGTCAGCGCATGGGCCAATAAGGTATATCTGACAATTTATTAAAACTTCATGGCAACCTATTCACATATTACTCAAAAAATGTATTATTTATGTATTGACCTATTAATTATTTGCTTCAAACTTTTATTATTTACGTCACAATTATTTACTCATTATACAAAGTTATACAAAATTACACGCACAAAACAAGTTCATGGGCCACATAACTTCTGTTTTAGTATCATTTCATCTCCTGAGACTTCCAAGACGGCATATTCTAAGGAGTTTCTCTGATAGCATTCCACATGCATTTCTTATTTCCCATCTGAGCTGCATGTCCAGCCTGTTGTAACGTCCATGGTTTAATGACTCTAACAACACCATGTGTGTCTTAGACTTTCCATTGATGAAATTAATTAATATTAAGTCCGCTATCAATACGACTACTTGCTAAATTAAGGGTGGAGCATGTTAAAAGTTAGAACCCTAATTCTAAAAATGTTGTGGAATTCTTACCTCTTCCGAGTCATTTTCGCTGATTCAATTTTTATAAATTAAAACAACCATAAATGCTCACAGCTATGCTACACCGACCAAATTATGTTAGAATTTACTATTATGTAAATTGCTATGATAAACGCATCATTGTGAAAAATGTACAGTCAGAGATTGTCCCCTATCAACATAGCCTTATAAGACTCTTAAATTATTTCGAAGCAGATGCTTGGAGATTTATATTTCACATGACCCACAGAAAACTTTATCCTTTGTGAAGAGATACAATAAAAATTGCTGGTTTTCACTTGCTCCTTACTCAGCTAAACAGACTGTGGGTGTTACCAGTGCTACAAATTTATCGAATTCCTCGTGTGTTTGTATTACGATGTTAGAGGTAAATGCAAAATGGGGCATTATCTAATTCCTCGTGTGTTTGTATTATGATGTTAGAGGTAAATGCAAAATGGGGCATATTTCTGTGTCAAATGAGTACGTGTGATTTCATCAACTTACTAGTCCTGGCAGGAAGCTTTGTGATGTCGCTGTCAAGGTGATATGACACAGTATGGATTTCAAAAAGATACTTCACTCCTGGCATGAGATCTCCGATGAGCACTCTGATCGGCTGCTCCTCTGACCCGTGCGGGGAACTGGAATTTTGCTCTGTGATGTTTTTTGTGTGTGGAGGTTCCTCTTCACCTTCAGCTGCCCATCTCACCACGTACATTTCTACACGGCCCTCCGGACGAGGCCATTCCAGGGTCACGTTGGTCGAGTCAACAAGAGGGGCAATGTTTGACACAGGATTTGGTCCTGTAACAGAGTGAAGGTATAAGAGATTAAACAAACAGTTCAAAATGTCCCCATTCTTTCAATTTTATAGATGTACAAAGACTGTGGAATTGTACCAAGTACGAAAGTGTTTTTTAACTTCTGCACTACATGGATATGAGTGTTTAGCTTCATACTCCAACCAATCATTTCACTCCAGAAGGGACGGCCATTAGACACACCGGGCAGAAAGGTGGATAGGTCCTAGAGTTGGTCTGTACACTCATATTAGTCAGTATACATAATTATTATGCTTCATACTAATGCATTATAATGTAAAAGAAGTGACTAAACTACAGATAGAAAATAGAAGATACTGAGGAAGACCTAGTGGCTTGGTTAGGTAAAGGAGGATGTTAAGAGGAGAGCCAACCAACAAATTGTGGTTCAACAAAAGTGAAATGAAGTTGTTTAATAATTGATTCTAACGACACGTGGAAAATGACAAGAAAGTTATTAATTCTAATTACTACCAGCTCTCCAGTATTATAATCCAAAGAAATGTCCATTAACTCAGCCACTTCAAACCAATCCACTTCCCTGAACCTATTCTTCCAGATTAATTTTAATATTGTCGCACAGACCATCTCATAGGTTTTACAACCAGTTGTAATTTTACAAGATATCTGGCCTGTTCTGGATTACTCATTAGTACACAAACACTGTCATAAAGTGATCTCAGATTGATCTGACTACCGTAACATTCATTATAAGCATTATATTGTTATTAGGGCTGAGGAGAAAAATAAATAATCTGAAAGCACAAAATGTAAAAATAAAATAATGTATTTAGCTGAGAGCCTGTAACTGAAGAGAACAGGTTAAGGAGAAAATAATAGTGTTACAGGAGACATCATCAGTCTTACCGCTGTAACTCAGGGTAAAAGAAATTTGATGCATCTGTGTCATTTTATAATACTCACTGACAGTCTGAGTGACCTCTTGCGGTTGATTGCTCTCCACACCATAGCTGACTGTGTTTACCTGGATACGATACTTCTCTCCCGGTGTCATGTCCTCCACGACAGCCTCATGCTCACTCACTGATGACAACTTAAGCCACTGATCGTTATCTTCGGTCCTGTACCTGTAACATATTGTTTTATCGCCCGGTGGTTAAACTCTAATGAGCCAGACCAACTAAGAAAAGTGAATGGATGACCAAGGTTCGATTCATGGCAGTAACAGTGATTTGTTTATTTGCTATCATGTCCCCACTGGGACCCCTCCTGTAGCCAACCACAAGATGAAGCTGACCTCTGACCTGCATCCAATGTGTGGTAATTCTGAGAAATATTTAATATGTTACAGAATTGAACATACAGAGGTCACCTTTTTTTAAATCAGCTTTCAGCTTGAAGGTATTTACTTCACAGCCCCTAGCAAATTTTTCGTATGTAACATGGGGATTTGTTATACACGTCCATTACCGCTCTTTTGTTTACGTTTTTTTTAAAACATACAATCGGAATTTATACCAGTGAAATCCAGTTTATCAATTTCAATATCAGTTAAAAAAATCATTGCTGAAATTGTTTGAAAATGACTTTGTTTATCGAGTAGAGAAGTCCAGGAAATATGATCCTGCATACATCCTGAATTTAAAGTTTCTAAACTGGTGCGGTAGGAACGTGACGCTCTGGCTGTACTGTCACATGCCAGTTCTTCAGGCATTCAAGTACTGACTGACTTACCCTGACAAAAATTTATGACACAAATGAACTAACCAACCGACACTACGGTGCATGGTCTTCCTAGACGAGTTGATAATTACACAGCACGTAAAATATTTCTCTGTTTTCTTTATGGAACCTACATATCAAACAGTACGTTCACAAAAGCTCACCACTAGACCCTATCCTGAACCTGATAAATGTGGTTATCCCTCACCATCTACACCTAGTTCTCCCAAGTGGCCTTCTCCAGTGAAGTATTCCATCAAAACATATGATCCAGAAACTTTCACAGAATTTTTTTGTTTTCACGTGGCTTATCAGATAACAAAGTACTTATTCTTTCACTGAGTAGTCATCCAAAACAACTACACTAACAAAATTATTCAGTTTAAACTCATTTAAAATACTTCACTTCTCCTCAACACAAAACTCAATGGCATTAGAAAGATTAATGTTGATTAATACTTACCTAATAGAATACTCAGAATATATAGAATCTAGTGGAGGTTCCCAATGTACAAGTACTGAATTACTTGTAACCTTCTCAATGGTTAGATTCCTCGGTGGATGAGGAACTGAAACACAGAAAAATATCTGGTACTGGTACCGGTACTGAACGCTTAGTTCAAGCTGAAGGACGTTCATGCACTCCGTAAACATAATAATATATGAGCGTTACACCTTCTACAGTATAGGAGATTTACATGTGGGATTTAGCACATTTAAATTTTAGAATATAATAGAGCAACATTTAATATAAATCATGATAATTACAACGTAAATTATCAGAAATTTTTAAATGTTCAGAATATTATTACAGTATCATACTAATGAGTCCATCTAGATGTTTTAAATTAACATTCATAAACTACACATAAACTTCTTAATTTTCAAATAATTCTATTTTACAGCGACACATTGAAGATGACTATATCTTAGTAGCTGAGGTCAGTATGATAATCCTGAAAACATTAATTGCAGTAGCCAACAAATTCTGATGACCCTAAACTATTCACTTATAGATGATTATATTCAATAACCAACCTCACTCCGATACGATGTACTTCTGATCTTTCCTCTTACAAATTGGATATTACTTCTCTGATCAATATACACAGCATAAACATCGCTCCGACAATACGATAGCATCAATGATATATAACACAACAAAAATGTTGAAACAATGTGAAAAACGAAGAAATTATAAGAAAATTAAAAATTAGTAATTGAATTAAGAGTTTATAACATACACCTGATGACGGCTCTATGAAAGCCGAAACATGTCGAGAATGTTCCATATGTAAATCGAGTACTCGATATGGAACAAAGGATAATAATTTAACCTTTTAATTATCTTATATTACTTTATTGTGATTGACGGACAATTTTAATATATTTTAATACTATGATTATATTTATTTTACATTGTCATATGTTTTCATACTAAACACAACCTCTGCATATGGATCAAAACTATGGGTTACAGCTGTTCAACTCATTTTATACGAACGCAATGCACTAGCAGAGTGTACTTACAAACTGCCTGGAAATAATCATGCGGTTCACTGCGCAAACCATGGCTGATAGCAAACACCTTCACCTCATAGCCTGCACCAGGGTACAAGTCTTCCAGGACCAGTTTGGACTCTGTAGTAATTGTTGTCACACTTTCACCTGCAATTAAAATCTGGTCTATTAGCTTCTGCAGTTACACGAGTGACTTCGTACTTCACTTATCGGGTGTGAATGTCACTTGGCAAAAAATCAGTTGAGAGGATGAATAAGAACAAAAGAGAATGACAAAAGACCAGGACAAAACATAATTAAAGTCTAAAATTATTCATTGTCAGGACTTTTTCCATCGACTGTTCTTTAAAACCACGACGTAGGTACCTCTCACCTCAAGACGGAGACAGAACCAGCCTCCGAAACGTCGTGGTTTTAAAGAACAGGCGATGGAAAAAGTCCTGAAAATTAATAATTTCAAGTGTAAACTACCGCCATCAAAACCCTTTAGAATTGAATTTTCACACGATATAGAATTCAGCACATTGAGTCATCCTCAGATAATAATTTAAACTGACAATTTTTGTGTTGTTATATGGCTTTGAACATGTATCAAAATTGAAATCAAATAAACAGGCTACAGGAAAGAAAAAGTAATAAGAATTCAATAGGAACAAAAATACAAGATATTCAACTTTATAACAAGCTTTACTCTGTATATCAAAATAATCTGTTACAGTCGATAAAGATATCACCCACACCACAAAGGCCATGCCAAGGCACAATCACCAAATACCTTCAGAACTTTCATCCACAGTCCATTATTAAAGTTTGTTTCGCTGTACCGTTATCTCTCAAAATGATGTGTCGGCTATCTTCGTTTACTGGCTAATGAATTCTAAATATTCTGAAGTTCTTTTTTCTTTCTTAACAGGAAATGTGATTAGAAGAAAAAAACAGAAATCAGAAAGGATGTCATTTCATGACAAAACAAAATAACGCTTAGTTACGCTTGTTAACTGTGATGTCATTTAAAAATGTAATATGCTGCATTAAACTTCCTTTGTTCCACTAGAGTTGATAACACTGCAGACAGTTTGGTTGCCAGTTATTTAACCATTCAGGGGTGATCTCTATACATGGTACAGACCTGTTTCATCACGTGACACTGGCCTTTATGCATGGCATAAACCAGGCACATTAGCTACGACCAAACTGGGCATTTAGCCTGTATCAGTAGCTAGCACTAACATAATATACTATTAAAAATATATATTAAAATTGGCCGTCAACTATGTTATCCAAAGACATTTCCAGCATTGGAACTGAGATAGTGATCTACAAAGTTATGCCACTGGGACATAATGTTTACAGTACGGACAGTATATTCTTCCTTGTCCGCTATCACTCCCACCTCTCCGGTAACCTTCCCTCTTACTTCTAATGGACTTGGAATGCACAGATTCGTGACTACTGTACATGAATTTTCAGTCACTTCAGTCCACTGGGTAGGATACACTTAAATGGCTGTCATAATTGAAGGATTGAAGTTTCACATAAATATACCAAGAGAATGTAATGTGTATCAAAATTATAGACGCTAAAAGGCAAGAAATGTCCTTCTGTTTGGGTACAGAAATACAAAGTTTTACAGTCTTGTTTCATCAGAGGGAATCATCAGGTGATCGCTGTCTTCTGGGTTGTTGTGCCCTGCAGTCTGGTAGACGTTAACCAACGTTTATGAGGTCCTTGCTGTCTCCATCATTAGGGTGCAACAACCCAGAAGACAGCCATCTTCAGACTCATCACTGTGGAAACCTCAAATCCAATGAATCATTATTTCTTTGAAAGTGATGTACGAGGTACGATAGTATTCCAAATTTACTATTAGAATAAAAATCTTGTGCATAAGCATGGTTTTACTTATAAAATAAAAATTATATATGAATTAAAAAATAAAAAATCTATGCCCTTGAGAACCTAATGTTGATGTGGAAATCTAAAAAAAAAAAAAAGTCTGAAACATCACATGTCATCACAGCAGTATTGCATTTTATTTTAGAATACCTCAAGGCAAAATCATTATTTTTCTCTTGAGATGTGTTACATTTCTGGAGAGAAATGTGTGATTTTAATTGAAGCATGTAAAAAAGTACCAACACGAAAAAAACTTCATATTCAAGGTACTTTTGATATTCTCTCTTCCTTCTTTGCTAAAATTTGTTTTAAACAAGTAGTGTATAACACTCATGTTTACAGTTACAACAACATATGTAAAATATCATAAAATATCTGCCCCTCTCAGTTTAACCAACAGTCCTCAGTCTTTAAGAGCCAAATTATAAAGTAACGTGAACTCGATACACATAATCACCAGACATTTTTAAGACAGCCACTCGGAAGCCATTTTTAAGTTTCAATACAGCGTTTCTGAACATCCTCTTCACCTACCAACAGTCATCTAACATTCCCACACTGTTTGTATTACGTTAATATCTGATTACTGACATCAGAATGAAATCTAAGAGGAGTGTTTTCCTGTCCCAACTTGTTACAGACATAGGAAAAAACATTTAACTTTTTACTCAATTGCCAATTTCTTTGAAGTCAGGTCTCTCACGCAAGAAAACATGTTCTTTCGAGAATAAACATGGCAGAAATCTTTTAACAAAATTTCTTCTGCCAATTTCCGAGTGACCAAATTACGAACAGCATGATGACGAAAGACCTGACTATTCAGTTCCTTCCAAATTAGCACAGGAACCCACTTTGACTTTATATCATTCAGAATGCTTTAAGTTTACATGAATGAGACTTCTTGTTCAGAACTGTAAACATCTTCACATTTCATTTCACATTTTAACAGGATGCTAACAGAAAGTAGTCCATAAGAAAGAGACAAGAGGTGGGAACTAATTTGTTGTCTAGAAAGTTTGGGCCATGAACCATCCTTCTTAGTTGGTGCTGTGTTATGAGCGATTTCCTGGTAACTGAAGGGTCATCTCATGCACTGTTCCAATTGACCTTGGTCCTTCATTCCATTTCCCACACTCTCTGCAAGAAAATTCAAGTCAGAGTAGATTCCTTCTAGTAAACGTAACGATTTTGGATGAGCGTGGAAATAAAGACACGTTTTGATAGCACAAACGCATGTGTCGCTGGAAATTTTAAAAAGGATTCTATATTAGTACAGGTTTTGTACTTTGCACATTCGGAGTGCCTTTCCAGTTTTCATTAAAATACTTTATACGCACCTTCAAAGGCAAGCCAACAAATAGCGATAAGAGAGTGGAAAATATTAAATAAAGATTAATTGATTTATAATTTTATTAAGAAGGAAGAGAATTCCAATGCTGAGAAATGCCTCTGTTACCAGAATAAGGCAGATTTTTTCTAATGAGTTCCCAAAGAGTTAAATTCCTATAATTAAATATCTTTCATTTCTATAACACAGCCCGGCCCTGAAGAAGGCTTGAAAGTAATTATGTTCAACAGCAATGCTGAGAAATGCATAAACAGTAATTATGATATGGACAAAGTATGTACGTAAAATGTCAAAACAGCAACAATTCTACGAGCAGTAAATCACATCGTACTATCATTCACCAACCAACGAGGTCTTCCACATCGCCTGATAAATTTAAATCTCCTGGACTGGGAATGACGTCTTTATTGCTATTTCCAGTGTGTAAGAAATTAGCATCCTGACAAACTGAGAATTTCTGTATGTCTGGGATAAGTTTACTGAGGATATAAAGTATCGGATATACAGTCAAATAACCATTAAATCCATTATGCACATAAAACAAAGATGGTTTCCTTGTTTGTCCAAAAGTGTCCTAGTATTACAATCCTCTGTGAGTTTATTTGCAGATAAGTATCAGCATTTTGTGAAATGATATCAGCAGGGGGAGAAGAACACAAAAAACAGAAATATCACGACAAAGTAAAGTTTTCCTCCGCACAGTAAAGGAGTAGTTTTGCTTTCTTGGCAGCTCTCTGTCACAACGCCCTCTAACACGGGACCGTCTCCAGTCGTAAATTGTGGCCAGTGCACGGCAATGACCACTAACCCCTATCTAGTGTTGAGGTCGAGAATGAGTAGCAGCTGCATCACTCTCCCCCCTCCGAAGTGCCTCCATGGTGTGCAGCAGGATAGCTTTACTTTACTTTTTAATTTGAGAATCGCCTTGTGATTTGACTGTACTTGTGTAGCATAAAATGCTGTAAAATAGATCATTCTTCAAATACGTTGTGTACTTTAAGTCAATTCTGGATAGAAGACCAATGTTTCGGAGAGCTTGAAGGGCTGGAAGCAGAGGTGGTCTCCAAAATGTTGATCTTCTGTCCAGAACTGACACAGCTTGTTGCAAAGCGAGTTATATCACATCCATCAGAGTTTTCTGCACCAGAACTCATTAACGCGTGCAACATTGATTATAACTACTGCGTGATCATATGAACTAATGGCCTATACATTGAGTTAGATAAGGGGATGTGACATAATATTGGCACATATGAACTAAAATTAACTGAACTGCATATAGGATGCATCTCTATTATCAAACTGGAACTCTGAAATAAAAAGCGTAACATGCGCACGTGTTTTCCTGTATATCTCAGATATCATTAGGAATGTGATCATAGATATAATGAAATGAACACTGAATTCAGCCTTGAACGCTGAAAGACCGAGATTTTGTCTTCAGGGGTGGATTTTGCATTGCGTTCACCTTTTAGAAGCTGCAGCGATACCTAAAGCAAAATACACGGCGCACTTTGTATTTAGTCACAGAGTGAAGTGGAAGGAAGCTTTTTTCCTTGTATTCAAGATTTGTTCTTATCACCTGCTTCAGGACGGGAAACCCAGAGTTATTTTAAGTACACAGACACTGCAATAGAAATTACTAACATGTGCAGTTACGTTGTAGTCTTCGCTTCAAACATTACGCAATCACGGATTCGAAGTTCTTACAGCAGTGAAAATAGACTGTGATCTTCAAGGTTGTAACGCCATGTAATTTTGTAGTCAGTGCAGAAGATGGAACAGACAGATTCCTCTGAAATGATGCCAACAACCTACAAAACTATTTGACTACACGTCATCACAATACAGAAGACCACAATTCACATCACACATTCTGTGCCTGCATCTATTTTTAACATGAAAGGACTATGATAGCATATAGTCCCGCGCCGTAGCCGCGCGGTCTGAGGCATCATGCTTCGGACCGGTGATACGGAATGCGCGCTGGTTCGAGTCCCGGGGGAAAAAAAAAATTTCTCATGAGCTTTCGACCAGTGTATGGGACCGGTGCCAACCCAGCATCGTGAGGAAATTGGGGAGCTACAATGAGTAGCATAATCCAGTCAAGAAAGCTAGCAATGGCTGGTGGTTCGTCGTGTTGACCACACGTCACCCTGTATCTGGTTGGATGATCGTTCACCTCTGCTTAGGCATGTGAACGTGAGGCCAGCAGTCAAGCTAGTCGGCTTTGGCTCTCTGGAGCTGTTACGCCACGGATTTCATTTCATGATAGCATATATGGGAAACATACACTGAACTCTTGAACAGATTTATCTCATCTTACCTGTGTCATTACGGTTGTATGTAACTTCAAATTTATCCTGCCGAGTTGTCACATCTGACTTCCAAGAGATGTTCAGTCCATTAGGAATTGGCTTAAGATCTTCGATGATTGGTGAAGATGGTCCTACAAAATTAACCATCTCGTTATTCAAAATACCTCACTTTTTGATATTTATTGATTAAAGCATGATTGTAAAAGCCATTATAAGGGGGCCACATCTGTCTATCCATGACCCCAAATGAGAGGTACTTCTTTAAAATAAATTTTATTTTATTATTTCTTTCAGACTGAGAACTTTCAGTAAGACAGAAACCTAAACAATACTTTAAAACTATTTTGGTCAGAATGAGCTATGTGTTAGTTAAGGTCAAAATAAATTTATGTGCATCTTAAAAATATGCACTAAAACAGACACAAAATTTAGACAAAAGAGAAACAACGACATGGAAATGTATCTGTAATTTAACATAAACTCATTAAAGATTAGTTTACCAAAAATCCATTTCTCTCCTTTTATACATAAGATGGCACAGGGTACGAATGTGCGTACCGATCCCTGCATCACTTCACAGTGCCAACGCTTACTAATTCTACTAGCTGTGGCAGGTACTCACGAGTTGCCTGGTAGAGTGACGTCTCGTTGCTCTCCACTCCATTGCTGACTGCCTGCACAGAGATGGAGTAATTCCTGCCCGGCAGCAGGGATTCAAGCAAAAGTGTTCCCGCCTTTTCCACGTACAGAGAATTACTGTCTCCATTAAAAGATTCTACTTCATGATAATTCACCTGGCCATACAGAAACATAATTATTAGCATCGACAAACTGAATCACATAATGCCCTTCACCTGTAACATTACTTTCTTCAATAAGCTGTGTCTTGTCTGTCTTTTCCCTGATTCAAAAGACATATAAATCAATATTATGCATACTATATAAACAACTTTCAATTCTAAAGGGTTTTGATGACGGTTGAAATGTTGAACATATCAATAGTTTTCGTAAGATAAAAAGTTACAGATTAAAATTTAAAACATTTTGAAACCCATAAGGTTTAATCCATATGGATGACCAGACGCGCAACTCAAAAATATTACAAAGTCTGATCAAAAAACAATAAATTGTAGCAACAACAGTTACAAAGCTAGGCGACAGAGCGACTGACACCTTGTATATTCTGCGTTAAATTTTCAAATCTGTTTCACAACTTGCTAAAGCAAAGCAAGGGAGGGATTTTTTCTTTCTTTCATCACATAACTATTTCAAAACCAACACTTGGATTCCATTTTCTTTTGCAATGTTTAGATTGCAGTCAAGGCTTTCAAATTTGGTAGGAAACTTCAATGCGGGGAAAGGAGTACATGAATTATAAGTGTTTCTAAAACTATCTGCATACTATGAAACCAGTTTGGCGACACAGGAAATGACACTGGGATAAATCGAAACACAAAATTAAACCCAAAAATCTACTTGTTACTGACATTCATTTATTTGTCTATAGCAAATCAATTAATTCAATGTCAATTCAGAAGCGGTATCACCGAGTAACCTGCTTGAAGAACAGTCATGGGATACATTGCCCTCTGTAAGTGTCCGTCTGTCCTGATACTGGTATATAAAGTATGTCAGCTGTTTAGTTAATTCACTTCACCTTGTAGCCCTCCTGAAGGCTGGTGTTGTCCGGACGCCAGTCCAACTTCACAAATCCCGTCTTTTCATCCATGCTCGCTTGCAAATCCTGGACTGGTAGGGGTTCTGTAACAGAATGTCTTACTTTCACCCTAAATACTTATACAGACCAATCCAAGTTGTAACAATACTAAAGTGTATGGAGGAACATACAATTTTAAATAAAAACAAATTTATTAAATTCTGTTCTATGACAGACAAAATCTTTCATATGGTTCATGCATTTAACAAAACAATTAAGAAGATAGAAAAGTTTTTGAAAACTTTTTAGGATAATTGCACTGTGTCATAGAAGAAACTTCTTGATATTTCACCGACAATTTTTTATTTATTTAATAATCCTCTTTCAGCTGCTTAACTTATGTAAAGTTGAATATCAGTATAAATGACAAACGGGGAATAACGTGGTAGAAGTCATTTTATTAATTTAATGTAATTCCTAGCAATTAAATGGAGTGTCTGAGTAAAATTATGATAGTAAATCCCTTTGCGTTAAACACTACACTGTGACCTTTGTTCCCAACATATCAGAGGTACTTTCCCCCCATCATCTTTAGTGTAGAAAACAGAGGCTTCCTCCTTCCTCTGAAATCTGGCATGATCCTTCTGAAAGCAATATACTCTGATGACCTAAAAGACAGGTTTCTCGGACTTCCGACAACTTCCCAAACCTGAAGCCTCATAATGAATAAATAGCAAAAATTCATTCATGAACTAGTTACAACTGCGACTGCATACTCACTGACTGTCACATTTCCAGTGGCCGGCCAGCTGGTCACTTTGCCTGACAAAGTTTTCACAACCACTTGATAGCTGCGACCAGGCTCAAGGTTCTCTTTAAACTCCCACATCGTCGGTTCTCCACGCATGCGAGTTACCGGAGCCTGTCTCCGCACGCTGATTGACACTTGGTACTTGTCAAATTCACTGCAAAATGAGTGGGCATATGCAGGATATGTGATGACAGACAGAAAGAATGTTCAAATAAGCCACATGATTTTTCGACATTTTTGTGCCGGCATATACAATGTTCTTACAAGATGGCTGTCTTCTGGGTTGTAACGTCAAAGAAATTAGTGACACATTACCTTATCCCCTTTGGAGGATCCCAGTGCACTTTGAACGAACTCGAGGTGATTGAACTCTTGTCGAACGTTACATTGAGGGGACGGAGAGGAACTGTTCTGTACTGAGCTGTCGTGGGTGCTGATATTTCATCTTCACTTAGAGTTTGTACTGAAATGTTGTAAGCACGACCTGGAAGAGATACGAGCCATGGTAATTCACCACCTACAAACATGAATCAGTCAATAACAGACAGTAAGAAACGTAAACATAATTCTCGAAATGATATAGCAGCCTTCCAAAATAATTTAATTTGCATAATATGGGCTGCTGACACATGTACTCTTTCCGCTTGTAATCCCATGAGAATTTTCTTGTTACATTATATCAGAATCCTTCTACGTGCTCGTTTGATTCAAAGTAAAATAGCAGTTAAGATGTTCTATGTCTGTAACATTAAGGGAAGGACAGGGCGTTCGAGAACAGACTGCTTATGATAATATTTTGACCTAAGAGAGATGGAATGATGGGCGGGTGGAGAAAATTGCATAATGTGGCGTTCCACGATTTGTACTCCTCGCCAATTATTAAGATATCACATCAAGAACGATGAAATGAGAAGGGCATATAACATGCATATGATGATAAATATGTACAACAGTTTGGTTAGAAAGTCTGTGGGAAAGACCTAGTTGTAGATGGGAGGGTAATATTTACATGGACAGATCTTTCTTTGAAGGAAAGGAAAATATGAAAAACTGTGTTCACTCTGTCTCTGTACTGTTCAATTGAGACTGTTTACTGTGCAAGCGATTTGACCAACATACAAAGAAGATGACAAAAGGGAACATGAGCTGTATTATTATTTCTTACTTCTTTATTTTTCTACCCATCCGCGGTCTCATACTTACGGTACGATGGTATGGTTAATCATTTCAGTATTTTGAGGAAATTAATTGCCTCACATATTCAATACCCATTACATGAGTTATAATTCTTTCATGGCCAATTGTTTGTTACTGAGACTACAAGCCAAACGCCAAATCTCCATCAGGCAACGACGACAATACAGTAAAACACTGTGAACAGTAAAATTATGTGCGTAAGTGTGACCGTCCTTCAACTCCATCAAGGAGGAGGAAGTCACGGTCACAGTCGCCTGATGCACGGACATTTGCCGCACGATGAACCAGCATCCATTATCACAGACCGAGGTGTACCACTTTCGTTTTATCTCATCCTGGTCGGATGCTCATATGATAAAAAAATAATAATCATACATTTAATTTTCATTGAAACATTTCTGCCGTGGCGCGACTAAAACTGCGGCATTCTTTAACGATACGAGATTCACCAAGTCTATTAAACTGGCGATATTTTACGTCTTCCAAAAGAATTTTTCTTCAGCTGAACTGCAAGAAACCCATCTGTCAGCCTTACTTAACGCTGCATTACTTCTCTAGGATCCTGATGAAAGGCATTTTTACAGCCTGGCACATATCACTTGTTAGCATACCATTCTCATGTAATAATTTTGCAGTTTTATCCTTGGTCTGTCCGATTCCTTTACAGTCTGACATTTATTTCATTTTAATATCGCACCACATTTAGCTGTGGGCCTTAAATTCTAATTTTATACAGACACAAACAGCTTCAAAAGCTCACGTATCTTTAAGCCCACGCACACTCACGGCCAAAAATCACAATAATCACAAGAAATGAGAATTATAATTCTCTCACCTGGTACGAGGCCCTTGAATGCGGCCTGAGCCGGTCCCGGAGGTTCTCCTTCCTTCTCGACATACAACGTGCTATCCAGCGCATCCATTGGATCAATGGACACTTTGTAGTGCGTATAGATGCCAGCAGGATACGGCGGCCACAACACCAGTAACGTGGTCTCATTTCGAAACCACACGATGAACTTACCAGGTGTGTTTGGTTCTGGAGAGAAAGTGTTGTCATTACTGCATATTACGTAACATTATAAAACTTCACTTTGACCACATTAATTTGTAAATAAAATTTTATTTCAGTACAAATATACTTCTACAGTTAAAACGTCATTCAACATTAACTAGGGAACCGTGGTTCCACTGTAAAATTTTTAGATAAACATGAATGAGGTTTTTATGTAGGCAAAAAAATTAACTTTTATATAGGCGTAACTTTCAATGAACAAAACTTCCATACTATATTTTTTATACTGTAGCACGTGCATCCCTAAACTACGGCTCTTTCACAATGCGAGTGACTGAATTATTCCTCTCTGGACAGTGAATATTACCAGCCGCTTCCACATAAGATTCTTATTCCTTCTGAGGGCATTACAGAAAAATACAAGCTTATAAACTTACTGAGTAAACTCGCTGAACCTGTTTCTTGTGCTTACTTGTTGTGAAATTCCTTGACGTATATGCTATGCTCTCTTTGCCATCATACTCCGTAAACAAGTGCACCTGGTACGATGCTCCGGGTGTCAGATTCTGGAAGGTATAGTACGTGTCTTCTACCGTAACTGGAAGCACATTTGTTGACGCCTCTGGCAAACTAAGTACCTGTATAGGGCGCAAAGCACAATGCAACACTTAACTAACTAACTAACTGGATGGTTTATAGAACCAAGGTTCATCACCGAATTAACCAAAGCCCTCCACCGGTCTCTGTCCTGGGCCAACAAAATCCAGTCTCCTTCAACTCCTATCTCCCATAGATCCCGCCTGAGATTATCCTCCCATCTACGTCTAGGTCTCCCCAGAGGTCTCTTCCCCTCAGGCTTCCCAAATAGTGGACCCAACCAACCAGATGGCTTACTAGGTCTCCCCAGTGGTCTCTTCCCCTCAGGCTTCCCAACCAATACCCGGTGCACACCTCTTGTCCCATCCATGCGCGCTACATGCCTCGCCCATCTCATTCTTCTCGACTTAATCACCCTGACAATATTTGGGAAGGAGTACACATTTTTAAGCTCATCATTATGCAGTTTTCTCCACGCCCCATCGTCTTCCCTCTTAGGCCCAAATATCCTCCTCAACACCCGATTCTCAAACACCTGCGATCTGTGTTCCTCCCTCAGAGTGAGAAACCATGTTTCGCACCCATACAAAACAACAGGCAATATTATTGTTTTGTATATTTGAATCTTCAGGTTCTTAGAAATCAGACGGGAAGACAAAATATTTTGAACTGAGAAGTAGCAAGCATTTCCGGAATTTAATCTCCTCCTAACTTCCTCCTGAGTGTCATTTTGATTTGTTATTGTTGTTCCCAAATATTTGAACTTTGTAACCCTTTCAAAGGATTTATTAGCCACCCTAAGATAATTTTGCCCGCGTGTCTTCTGACGACGAGACACTAACATGTACTTACTTCAAGCCCCACCTGTCTACTAGCCTCTAGTAAAACTTCTGCGTTCCTCTCTATTGTATTCATATCGTCCCCCAAAAAATTAACATCATCAGCAGAAGGCAATAGCTGATGTATCCCACTCAATTGCAAACCCTCCTGCCTATCTTGGACTTTCCTGATGGTGCATTCTGACGCAAAGTTAAAGAGCAATGGAGATAAAGCATCTCCCTGTTTTAGAACACTTAACACAACTAATATTATACAGAAGAACATTGGAACTTTGGCCAGAATTTCGAGCAGGCCTGTTGTCCATATTTAAATACAAAACATAAAATATTAAGATACAGAATTACTCAAGACGTGTTCTGGAGGAGCGAAACAAAACCACAGACACCAAGTGGCTGTCTGGTATCAGCATTAGTAAAGGTCATGCGGAAGGCAGAAACGTGGTTTTCATTACTAAAACAACATTTTGACGACGTTCTCATGCGATGGGACAGTAACAATTTCCAGCAGTAATAATTACAAAAGAAGACTTCAAAAGTTTTACCTTCAGTTTGAAGCTGGAATAGTGTCCAAGTAATGGAGGACTCCACGAAACTTGGGCAATCTTCCCACTATGAACATTAACCGAGAGGTTGGATGGTGGATCCGGAGCTGCAAAACCAAGCAAAGCCATGTATCTCATTTATTTGCATAGATGCATCCATTTCTTTTAACCTAAATATACAAAACACTCTACTTTTATCTACGATGACCATCCATGTGCTGGTATTGCCTTTATATCAGATAGTTGAGGCATTTAATCTATAAAAAAGATACCTAAACTCTATTCAAATAGAGCTTTTGCCATGAATGGACACTTTTGGTTCATGTGCAGGTAAACTACCTCAACGTGTATGAAAACACTTTGTAAGACGCACATTTGACGACCAAGAAATAGATGGAAGGATAACATTATGATTATTCTTAATGATAGTGGGTTGCAAGGATTAAAGTCGAATCAGGATTGTGTTCAATAGCTGGGCTGTGGAAGCTTTGGTAGTTTTTAGTTGCCTTGAGGCGGGAAATAAAGATCAGGGTGATGATGTAAGCAGTAGGTTCCTCCGAAACGACAGTCAATATTTACCAAGCTGCACGGCGGAACATCCAGATGATATCCGTCAAGCAAATATAAAACTTTCTGAACTAAATAACACGCACTTTCTCAATGTACTCTCTTATTAATTATTACCAACCACCGCAACCCGATTCGACATCGTTTAGAAATTCAGATTTAGATCACGGAGAAATAGATCTATTAAATTACACTACGTACATTGGTATGATACTCCTACTAACCTGTTTTAACGACTCTGAGTAATCAATCTATTGCCATCTATGTGCAGATCAATAAACTACATCAGCATGGGCCACGGGAGATGGGAGTGGGGAACGTTTCCTGTTATATTTTCTAGAAATCTCACTGAATTGCCGATTTTCTGTCCCTTTCTTCGAATATATTCTGGTCTTTCAGGCAATAACATTTGCAGTTTGTTTATAGATTTCTCTTTCTGTGCTCATTCACAGTAGAAACTTCCGGCTAACGCTCTCAAAAATTCTTTTATTACCCAGTCCCTTTTAAGCGAAATCCCGCATTAATATAGACGCAATATTTCGCGCGGTGGCGTCACTCTGCGTATTTGTTTCCGACGACATTTTATCAACAAATTACAGACATTATATATCACCGAATTGTACGACAATTACGGATGACTGAATGAAAATGCAACATTACATGCAGATTTGAGCCTAGGAATTCCGAGAAACGATGCAGGAGTGCCAACTACCACTTTAAGTAAACTTGTGAGATAAAAGAAAGTAACTGACAAAGTATTTTATTAAATCAAATTTTGATAAGAACTCGTCTTTTCGGCATTGTTACTATATGTTATTTATTACGCCGTCTCGTTAGCGAACAGATATCCATTTCTGTTTAATACGACCAGCAATTATGGCGTTTTTACTTTAGATTATTAATTATCCTTTCCTTCCCTAGTATGCGACTTTTATATTTGTTTTGTGCTCGTTTAATTAACTTCCGAACAGATCCTTGAAACAAAAGCTACACGAATAATCTACCAGTTTTGAGTAAGGCCATTGTTATTATCACGTTAAACAATTAGCTAATGGTTTAAAAGTTGTCTGTGTCATTAATTATTATATCTATTACCTACTTTTGCATATTCACTGCGTATATAACTCATGTTATGTTGATTTCGAGGGTTAATCCTCATGTAAGGAAAATTATCATATGAGTAATCGCCCCCCCCCCACATTTGGACTTAAAATGACGTCATTTCATTCACACAGAAACAAGTAAGATTTACATGCCTACGAATATTTCAACAAAGAATCTAAGACCTTAATCCCTGGCCTATATCATTGTCTCTCACAAACGAAAACAATTAAAAACATTCAACTTAAATGAATTTAACACACATTTAGAGTAATTTACAAAGTTCTGTTATAAACGTAATTCTCGATATTTGTCAGTCATTTTGTCACTGACTGGCATTATCTGCAGTCTATGATTGTGACTGTTCGACGTCTTTAGTAATACGGGCTAATTAATAAGTTCACAGACCGGATGAAATGTCTTGTGTTACGCAGGAATACCAACTTAATTAACACTCTCGCCGAATCTCGCTACAAGCTTCAATTGTCTTAAAATGTGAAAACGTTGAGGAAAGTGATACAGAAATCAGATAAAGTCTAATAAAACAAAATAAAAATCATGCTAAAATGAACGGATGGCGTAAACACTGTAGAAAGTGACATTTCTTAGGCCTGTAACATTATTTTCTTTCAGGAACTAAGACTAATTTGGAAGTACTTTTATTAACAATTGAAAATCGTCTGTTACAACGTTCGGTATTTTCAACCATTATCAGCTCGAACTGTACTCGCAGTGTTTCTGCGACGAAATCTGACATATGTTTACATTTTTGGGGGATTCTTAATTACCAGAAAGCTTGTTGTATATGATTTAAGGAGTTAGGTTAGGTTAGGTTATTGTTTTAATTTACAGTCTATTCATTTCAAAATGTAAAAACACAGGCATAAGAGACGGACTTTCTGTATAACTGTTGTGACATGGAGGGGTGTGTAAGAGTACCAGAATAAAACCTGGTGACCGCCTTTTTTCAGGTACTGATACAGAGACCGGCTGTCTTCAAGTCAGAAGGCAGCCCTCAGCGAGAGGTCGTCACTGCGCAAGCTCATGCAGGAGCGATACTCTTGTAACCAACCAGTGTTCAGCTGTTTCAGCCTACTGCATTGAAATAAATATCTTTTAGCTGTTACATTCCAACTTTATTTCACCAAGGAACGCCACCTGTACAGGAATACCTTTATATTATATTTTCATGTCGCACAATACATTCGCCCTTCACAATCGTCCTTTCTTTTGGATATGTAAATAGAACGCGGCCATAGAACAAGAAGCCTGAGCAGTGCTACCACCCGCGCAAAGTAATTCCCCCTTCACGCAACGCACATCTGCTCAGCGAGTCGAGCGAATCCAAGGTCCCCTACTAGCGCATGATTGAAGGTACGCACCGGATATCCTCTATGATTACTTCCGCTTGCAGAACAGCAGTTCGTTCATTCATACCAACAGCAAGGACACGCCTCTCAACTCGGAAACGAGTTATCTGACCAGAAAAAAATGGTGTTTTGTTGCGTCCCACAAAATGTCGGCGTTAACTTAAGCACTTCCTTATTCAGAATCTACGCTCAGCCAATTAAAAAAAATATCCATCTTTTATGGAACCCTTAATTTCATTATCGTGTTCCCTACAACACACCACAGGTTCCTACCCCTGACCGCAAGGAGGCAGCCCGTAACATCGCATCCTGTTCAACTTAATATTATCCTGAAATTTACGACGTGAACCAAAGAGGTCCATTCCCATTCGGGTTTTTTTTAAGATTAAATCTTTTGTCTACATTTGTCGTATCTCCCATGCGTACTACATGCCCCACGAGTAAGATTTACCAGAGAGTAACAGAAAAAATTTGAGTTTCTGAACAAATCAACACATTTAATTATCTGTGCTGAAATATATCTTATAATCGATATAATATTGTCGATATTAAATGAAGGATACGAAATTCGTACAGAATTTACGTAAGATACGATAAAACATACCATACGGGGAATAATAATAAGAATATAAGTTCTGAAATGGTATAAAATAATGGCCGTGGTATGCCCAAACTATGAGTGGGTCTTTAGTATGGACGATAACAGCCCTGTAAAGGACACAGGATTACAGCTCTTCAAATCACCGGCAGCAAACATTACATGATCACAAATAAGGTGTAACGAGGACTTGACCGCAAATATCTTATGACTGGGAAGTTACAGAGAAAATTAGTTAGTTGTTGTCCCAAGGATGAGTAGCCGAGACAGCTTAATCCATCACGTCACATAATAAGCGATGACGCACGTGCTAAGAGCTCTGAGACTGACACAGCCGGACATTCGGTCTTCTTAATGTTCTCCAGAAACTTTCCTTCACAAGCGTCATAACAATTCCAGCAAATATGAGATCAGAGGGCAATCCTATTTGTCTGAGTACAAAAAAGAAACAAAAGTTTACATGGGATTCCAAGGCCCCTCAGTCTTTCTTCTGTCATAACCTAAAGGCAGAATATAATTACGAACAATTATCAAACGTCAAATGTGCGGGCATTATTCAAGAAGCCGAACTCTGCACCTGTGAGGATTTTCCAACATTTGCCCCCAGCGTTGGTCGCCAACAACTGCCACGACTGGAAGATAAACCCGTAATGTTACACGCTCGGGACACGTACCAAAAGAAACAGACAATATCCTCATGCGCGCGCACTTAGATCCGCCTTGTTCGATAGTTCCCACTTTGGCCACCGGATCGCAAGCATCTCAGTGTCTACATCACGACTTTCCGTATCCGTCATTTCGTCATCAGCCGTCGTAGGGGGGGTATTCAAAAGTACGATTTTGAGGTCGTGCTGAATGTCACAACCTCCACACCAAATTTAATCCAAATCTGTCAAGTGGTTCTCGAATTAAATCGACAATCTTTTGGACACGTCTACCTCTGCTGCGATGACAAGGGCGCATCGGCTGTCGTATTGGAGAACATTTATTATATTTATTTAGTGTTGTGTCTGAACAAGTGGTTCTCGAATTGAATCGACAATCTGTTGCGATGACAAGAGCGCATCGGCTGTCGTATTGGAAAACATGCCACATGTTAATTTTGCAGTAAACATCGATTGGAAAAAAAATGTTGTTGACGTATTTTACGCAGATAAGGGTAAAGCAGCCTTAAGCACCGACACTTATGAAATACAGCCAGATTTCTCAGCTGTTGGTAATTCTAATGTCATTCCAGGCTCATGTAACTACCAGGTCTCCAATTTATGAGCTTACGGTCTTGCTTACATTGCGTTATCGGCCGCTGCTGTTGACGTAGGCGGGACTTGTACGCGTGAGTCACGGGCGAGTCAGTTTCGGTGCCGCTAGTAACAGCGAACTACGAATATTTCTCGTCACTAATACATGTTATTACATTAATTCGGTAACGAATTCTTTTGAAGAATGTTATTTGTTGAAAGTCCAAGTAGACACTGGTTCTGAATGTTAAGTGCGACCCTTTGTGGTACGAGTACAAAAGAGACTTACGAATTTCCTGGATTTTCCCATCGTACATCTATTTAAATGACCCTGATGTAATTTCTTTGAGAGCATTACTTTTAAGAAGGATTGAAAAAGGTAAGTTGTGAACCGGCTTAGGTCAGTCAGTACAGAGACTGACTACGGACTGCGGGTGTTTGAGCACGTGAGTCAATGGAACTTACATTTCTTGTTCTGGAAACCGATTTAAAACCCGTAACCACCTACGCCTGAGGCCACAGGCGACTACGAACTCACCCGTGGTGATGGAGGCAGTCCACGTGAGCCAATCATGCCTCGTGTTGTTGGAGTAATACAGCCAGAACTCGTACTTGGTACCGGGTAGACCCTCGCTGAATTCGATGACGTCGCCTATGTCCCTGGAGGCGATCGTGGTGTTCGGCGAAGGGACGCCGTGGGGCGGGTAATAGTCCAAGCGGTAGATGCCATCCTGATTAAGGTTGCCCGGGATCTGGATGGCGAGGTCTGCCGTCAAGCAGGGCTGGGGAACAAGATTTACAATCACTGTGCTGCTTTGAAAAGGTTAGGTTGGGTTAGGTTAGGTTAGGTTTGGTTAAGTTAGGTTACGTTGGGTTAGGTTAGGTTCGGTTAGGTTAGGTTGGGTTAAGTTAGGTTACGTTGGGTTGGGTTAGGTTAGGTTAGTTTAGGTTGGGTTAGGTTCGGTTAGGTTGGGTTGGGTAAGGTTAGGTTACGTTGGGTTGGGTTAGGTTAGGTTGGGTTAGGTTAAGTTAGTTTAGATTAGGTTAGGTTAGGTTAGGTTAAGTTAGTTTAGGTTCAGTTCAAACTGTAGAAAAATGTTAATGATTAGGACGTCAACAACTTCAAGGCGATATTTCAGTTGTTCTGTAACCTTTTCTTGGTTCCTCTGCCTGCTACACGTCCAGCCCACATTATTCTTTTTAATTAAACATCACAACGTGAAAGGCACAAACATAACTCGTTCAGACCACGAAATCTAGATCCTGTGTTGAAACTTATAGACTATTCAGCTGTTTTAATCTGGACGTAACGTGACGTATCGCTCTGGTGTTAAAAGAGTCCATCCTGAACCTATTGTTCTGGCTGCCTGATAACGTCAGTCCCGTGTTGTGGCAACGCGAACATATCTGCACGTTTTCACACTGCAAACAAATGAACGTCCGTGGCTAACTAGCGGACAGGTCAAAATAACTGAATTTTATTGATCACAAAACGTCTGCTACGAGAAATGATCGGTTTTACATGTTTCAGAGTCAATGAGTACATTATTTATACCAGAAACGGGCCACCAACGATCCAACGGGCCGATTGTAGTTCATCTTCATATCAGCAGGCCGTGTGACTCTCACCCCCATCTAGTGCCGAGGCTAAGAATTAGTGGGAACTGTACGACCTCTTCCCTAAAGCGCCTACATGGAGTGTAGCGTGTCAACTTTTTTTATACATTTTACACTTAAAACAGACGACATGCCGTGCTAAAAGGTTGTCCAGATTTTAAATGGAATTGAGATTGAATTGGGAGAATTATAGGAGTGAGAAGTAACCGCGGGAATTTCACTTTGACATTCTTCTCAAGTTGTCAGCAGTGGCTAAATCAAGACAATAGATCGGTTCTTATCCGATGTGTTCCACGTACGTACAGTACAAGGAAACAATACGTAATTTAATTTGTCAAACTCATTCCAAACACGTTTTAACTTAACTGTTAATAGCCGTAATTATATCACGACCCTTCTATGCAGTCTTGCCACAACACAAACACGTACAAAAGCTTTTTCTCCGACCCTATCTCCAGACAAACTTCCTCGCTAGCGTCTAATAAACTTCCTGTGTGTGTATCGTAAAAAATGTAGTTACCAATTCGATTCCAAAAATTAAATTAGGTCTAATATTCAAACCATCAAACGCCGTGCCGTAGTTAGTGTTTGTCAGTGCCGATGAAACTCTAGCCATGTTCCCACGGCCTGCAACCCTTTTAGAATGTTCTTGAACTGCTGTATCGAGGAAGCTTACGTCATAGCAACGCGGAAACCAGCGACAGTCACAATGAGGGTCGGATGTTTCGGGTACATTCATGGGAGGGGCAGAATTTTGGCTTCTACCCAACGGCAGTCGACCTTCGAAGGCTAGGGAACATATCCTAGGTTATCATCGTGCGTGCGATGACTAGACGTGTGGTTCTCGCCCGAAAGCGATCTGAGAAATGCAGCACAAAGGTCATCTGGGAATAATAAAACTTGATTTTTGATACGTCATTTAAAAGTGTTTTCCTTGCAGTGACGATGTGGTATGCCAGCACTCGATTCAATTGTAATACACGCCCTGGGCGTCACCGGGTTGACCTACGATGGCCCCAATACCTGAGCCGCGTATGAACCCCAAGTGATCGAGTATTGGGACTTATGACGTCATCACAACCGACGAGAACTGCGAAGTTCATGACATTTCGGGGAGCTGCATGCAGACCGACTTCCGCCGTCATTTTGTACTCAAACGAATCCAATCAAGGATGAAGTGATGGGTGGAACACACAGCACGCATGGGCGAGTTTATAAAATCCAAACTAAAATTTTTGTCGAAAGCTGTGAAAGAAAGAGATTGCTCGGTAGATCTATTGAAGAAGTTAAATAATTACTACAACGCAATCTACTACAAACTATTCACAAACTTCAACTTCAATCGGAAGGAAAAAACATTCCATATTTTCCTTCAATGTAATTTAAATTTATCATCATCGCAATCGTCAGTTAGTCATTCTTTGATGACACACAACTCCTGGAGGGAAAATTAGTCATTACTTATGAGTGCTGACGTCACTTCTCTCAAACCTGTCCCTCTCAAAGCCACAGAGTCAACAGCCACTCTGACAGAGAACGCGGTGTGATGACCGCCATTCGGTTAATTTATTAATGCGCTCGACACCAGCTGAAAAGCCCATTAGAGTTAAGCAATAAAAGGACACAATTAACTAACTAACTAGATGGCTTACGGAACCCGAAGGTTCATCACCGAATTAACCAAAGCCCTCCACCGGACCCTGTCCTGGGCCAACAAAATCCATTCTCCTTCAACTCCTATCTCCCATAGATCCCGCCTAAGATTATCCTCCCATCTACGTCTAGGTCTCCCCAGAGGTCTCTTCCCCTCAGGCTTCCCAAATAGTGGACCCAACCAAC